AGGCTCAGTAGTATGTGTGGCCTTCATATGCCTGTATGACCTCCCTCCAACGCCTGGGCATGCTCCTGGATGAGGTGGCGGATGGTCTCCTGAGGGATCTCCTCCCACACCTGGACTAAAGCATCCCCCAACTCCTGGACAGTGGTGCAACGTGGCATTGGTGGATGGAGTGAGACATGATGTCCCAGATGTGCTCAATTGGATTCAGGTCTGGGGAACAGGCAGGCCAGTCCATAGCATCAATGCCTTCATCTTGCAGGAACTGCTGATACACTCCAGCCACATGAGATCTAGCATTGTCTTGCATTAGGTGACCAAACCATCAGCCAGAAAGCATAGGAACTGAGAAGTGGTCTGTGGTCACCACCTGCAGAACCACTCCTTTATTGGGGATGTCTTGCTAACTGCCTATGCTTTCCACCTGTTGTCTATTCCATTTGCACAACAGCATGTGAAATTGATTTTCAATCAGTGTTGTTACCAAAGTGGACAGTTTGATTTCACAGAAGTGTGATTGACTTGGAGTTACATTGTATTGTTTAAGTGTTCCCTTTATTTTTTTGAGCAGTATATTTTGCAAAATTCTTGGACATGGTACCAAGTGCCCCGATGATGGGTATCACTGTTACATGTTTCATCCATAATTGTGTAGTTTCAATGGCCAGGTCACGATATTTCTTGATTTTTCCCAGTACTTTTTGTTCGACTCCAGCATCTCCTGGTACAGTGATATCAATAAATTGTATTTTGTGATTTTCGACAACTCTGATATCTGATGTGTTGTGTTCCAAATGAAGATCCGTCTATATTTGAAAGTCCCATAAGATCTTCATCTTATTTTCGATTATTATTATTGTTGTCAATCTTCAATTCGATTCACAGTCTGGGATTGGTAAAAACTTGTAACAGTTCAAGTCCTAACCAAGGACTGTTAAGGTACCATCTGAATATATAGGCAGTTCCAAGTAGTATGTTTTTTTGCAAAGTAAGGATCACTTTAAAAAAACCAACTTGAAATAATGATAGTTTTCACCTCTCAAGCCCTGTGGTATATTCATTTGGTGACAATAAATTTTATTTTTTGTGATGGTAAATCTGGATCTTACAAATGCTATGTGTCAAGGACACTTAAATTTGTTGACATGCTCAGAAATGACACACTTAGCCTGAGTTCATTTCAGGACAAACTGAAAATCCCTATACAGGGATTTGGCCTATGTGTCAATACTTTAACGCTAAATGAATGAATTTACTTTTACATAATTATTCCATATATATTAAGTTCACAACAGCAGTTAGAGATGTTATTCCTTACAACTAGGAACTTGATGTTGAAAATGCTTCTCTAACACTGGATCATATTGGTGGTTGAAATCTGGTTAATGTTCGTTAGAGGTTCATTTTTATTTTGAAACAATATTGAGTGGAAATGATAGGAATATGCTTAAATGCTCAGCATTACAATTGTTCTGCTTTTCATTACAACATTCACTTTTTGAACAAAATGGGTAAAGCTGCCAAATAGTGAGTACAGTTTCAGATCCTGTATTTAATTCTGGAACTATTATCTTTGCGATATGTAAATTAGAGATTTTTCTTTTTGTTATACTTTTAATTTAGTTAGAAGAGTTTCAAACTTATTTGATTATAAGGTCCTTCTGACCTAGCCCTTCCATTTCATTTACTTTTTTCGCCCTTTAAAGTAACTGCTGCAGTTATCTTTTACATTCAACAGTTCAGTAATATAACTTTAATTCCATATCCATGTGTGTTGCTAGTCCATATTGTGATGATTTCTGATGAAATAATAATATTCTCACTAAAACTGTGACACTGACTCTATTTTAATCTTCCCTAGGGAAAAAAGATTGTGCAATGACAGCATAGAGTACTGTCTTTATATGTTTTATTTAGTTACAAACAAATGTTGTACAGGCAATATATTCTTTCAATTAATTGCAGTTTTCTGTGTGATTATCTGTGAACAAGATCCACTATACTGAGTCATACCTCTGAGTATATATCATAACACAATATTATAATTTTATATATTAAAAATTACACCTTTTTCTGAGCTTTTAAATCAATTTCCTCTCTTATGCCTTTAATATTTATGAAATATTATCTTTCTCAATTGCAATATATTTTGAAGAAAACTATACACTTATTTTTATCTCCTGTGATGCGTATGTAATAGTGCCTGGAAATAATCTATTCATGTCACTAGAAATTAATATGGATTTGATAGCATTTTGTCAGTCATCCAAATGGTAATAGGGAGGGAGAATGACAGCTAAAATTATATACAGAGATACTTTCTTCTATGCAACTCAGCAATACTATGGAACATGTTTTCTTGAGTCATACAGTTACAGTTGGTTTTATTTACATACTAAGGTAATGGAACTTATGATCACAGTTGAAATATCAGCTTTGTTCTGTATCTTCTCCCTTGGCACTTTGTGGTTTTCTTTTAATAAATTTTCTTTTTTTTTAAAAAAAAGGGGGGGTTAACATGGAAAAATAAAACACATCTTCAGCTTGGTGCATTGAACAGAAAAGTAAATTAGTATATATATGAGATATTTTGTCCCAATGGAGAGAAGCCTAACAGTGTTTTTGTTTTGCAGTCCCCAAATGGGAATACTGATTATAGGCTGGAAAAGAAGAAAAGTAACATGTCAATCTACTCTATTTTATCTTAATGGATTTGTTTATTTAATACAATCAGGTTTTTTTTGCTTTTATTAAATTTTATTGTTCTTTTACATTTTAAAAAACAAAATTGATCATGACATTACAGCACTGTAGCATTATTATACATATCCATCTTTTGTAGATATTTACATTAATATACGATATTATACAATCGTATACATTTATCTATAGTTTTCTTATCTTAACTTTGTTTCCTATTTTCCAGCCAATTATACCACATACCCCAAATTTCATGATATTCCGACTCTTCTTTATCTTTTAATTTTAGAGTGAGTCTATCCATTTCGGCACAGTCCAAGATTTTTTTGAATTACCAATTCCTCAGAAGGGATGTTGTTGTGTTTCCAACATTGTACATATGTTATTCTTGCCACAGATTAAAATATATTTAATCTTTTTCTTGTGTTTCTTTTTAAATATTCCTAACATGAATAGCTCAGGTTCAAATTCTATTTGTTCTTTTACTATTTCTTGTAACCAGTGCCTAATCTTTGAGCTTTGGGGCAGGACCACCACATGTGGTAGAAAGTGCCTTGTGCTTTTTTACACTTTCAGCATGCCAGGTTCATGTTGGGATACATTTTTCCTAATCTCATTGGGAGTATGTGCCATCGGTAGAATATCTTATAGATATTTTCTTTATAGGCCTATGATCTTGTTAATTTATAATTCCAGTTCCAAATTTTTTCCCAATCTGCTAGATCTATATTATGTCCTATATTTTTGGCCCATGCTATCATACAACCTTTCACTATTTTTCCTTCCAAATCAACTTCTGATAAGTATTTATACAGTTTGGTTATACATTTCTCCTCAGGGCCTGTTAGAATTTTGTCTAATTGTTGCAATTCTGTATAAATTCCATAGTCTTCTACATCTTTTTTATATCTATTTTGCAGTTGGAGGTACGGCCACCAGTCTATGAATATTCCTTGTTCTTTGAATTCCTGATTTGATTTTAACTTCCCCTGATTGTCTAAAACTTCTTTATATTTTGCCATTTTACCTATATCCAAATTATTGGGATGTATCATGGCTTCCATTGTAGATAACCATATCGGAATTTTCATGTAATGTCTCTTCCTAATTTTATTCCAGATTTGTATCAGGGAATCTCCTATGAAGTGTCTATGGAAATAGGTTTGTTTCTTAATTTCCTTTTCCCATAAGAAGGCATGCCATCCTCTTTGTAAGTCATGGCCCTCCAGGCCTAATATCCTTTTATTGTTTAAGTTAACCCATTCTTTAATCCAAGTCAAACCTGCTGCTTTATGATAAAGCTCCCAATTCAGGAGGTTTTTTTGCTTCTTGTGGCCATAAAAAACATCCACAGAGAATCCATAATTAAATCTATTTCTGAAAAGAGAAGGCATTAATCTTTTATTTATTGCTATTTGCTAGAGGATATTCCATACCCAATAAGCAACAGTTATTGAGGAAGTTTTGCATATATTTTTATATTAATATAAATGGAATGGGGGCGATTCCGGGAACTTGCACATATTTTTCTATCATAACATATATTTTGCCTTACAGGTGATTGTTTTTTAAACATTTTAAAAAATTTCTTTTGTAGATTTAATCAAAATATAGTGAATATTGCTTTACTCAGTGAAATTTACATAATCCTTTTGTTGCCACAGAATTTAACTCCACTTTCTTTCATTTCTAAGGCTCTGGAGGATAAAGTTCAGTATGAGATTTTTCCTTACAACTTTGCAACAGCTCTGATATGAATTGTTTTAATATTCAAAATATCAGTGGCATAGTATGGGTTATACAATGAGAAGAATGGAAAGAACTGACATCTATTTGATCAAGTAGTTCCCTTATCCTTTGCCATATCCCTGATGCAGGGGAAAAAAATATAATAATTCATTTTTAAAATAAGAAAAATACTGGAAAGAGTGCTGACCCCACGCTTCTAGTCTCTCACTGATAGGATGCCTGGATAGTGAAGCACTCCAGATAGATCGTAGAACTGTTATTAAAGCTGTGTATGCATTTCAGAATTTTACTACAGTGCATGTTCCTGCTATTAACATTTTTTTCTATATATCTTCCATCAGAACATATAATTTAGGTAGATCTACTTAAAATTCAGGAAATAATGTGAAATTTTAGAATTTGTAAACTTTGGAACATTGTATTAAGATACATTTCTTACTGAATTACTGTTATGCAATCAGCTTGTTGATTCTAAATTCCATATTAATGGATTGTAGGCCAACGTTTTATTTGTGTAGGTAGGTAGTTAGATACAAAATAAATTTGTTTAAATTCTACGATTCAGCAGATTTTTGAAAATGTGATATAACTAAGTCTTTGTAAATAGCAGAGTTCACAAACCGAGGGTAGGAATCTCTGAGCATCAACATATAAACTTGGAATTGTGCTTCATCAAAAGTATGTATCGATGGTTCCATTATGTTCCGGTTAATAATTCCTCTTGCTCTGGAGTCCAGACTGACCTGTTAATAAATGAATTTATTAAAAAGTTCAGTAATATTCTTCCTCAATTCTGTTGCTAACAATGGGAACAAATTGATAGTTTCACAATGGGTCTGAACAATTTTTAATAACTGGAGGACATTCTAATACCACTAAAACATTTGACAATGCTCTACTTTCTTTTCAGTCTTTAATTTAAAATCCACAGCTTTTGTTTTTCCTTGAAGAAAGACAAACAAAAGGTTTTCTTCAAATGCTTAGCATTTGAAAGATATCCAGTATGAATTTAAAACAGATCTGGATGTTTTGGAATCCATTCTACTAAGGCCATGATGGCGAACCTATGGCACGCATGCCAGAAGTGGCACGCAGAGCCATTTCTCCAGGCACGCTAGCCATCGCCCGTTGCTCTTCTGGGTTCTGGCGCACATGCATGCCAGCCAGCTGATCTTTGCGCATGCTAGAGTGCTGGAAACTGAAAGAGCAGCTCCTGGCACGCGCCTATGTGCCAGCCACCTGATCTTCTGGTTTCTTAATGTGTGCGCATGCGAAGACCAGCTGGCCGGCATGCACACGCATGTTAGAAACTGATTGGCCACCTGTTCTTCTGGTTTCTTAACAAGCATGTGCATGTGCAGACCAGCTGGTCAGCGCCATGCACATGCAAAGACAGCTGACCGGCACATGCATGAGTGTTAGAAACCCGCTGGCCAGCTGGTCTTTGCAAGCACATGCACGTTAGAAGCCGGAAGACCAGGTGACAGGGGCGCATGTTTCTTGCTCCTGTTTCAGCACTCAGTGTGGAACTCCATCAGGAATTAAAACAATTTTCCATCACAAATCAAATATTACACTCAAAGAGCTTTCACTTGTTTTTAAAAACTTTTTAAAAATGAAGGAAAAGAATTGTATGTTAAAAATCTATTGTATGAATTTAAAAAGTAATTGATTAATGAAATATTACACAACAAATATTTAATATATCTATGTATATATCAGTTTGCTATATAGCTAGACTTCATTAACAATGGGGAAAGAATGCAAAATTAAATCTTTTGAAACCTTATCCTATGAGATTGAGCCATGTCAGTCTTCTAGAAAGATAAGTTTATGTTTAATAACTTCCCTAAATTTTATAACTGTCCCCCTACTTATGTACTTATCCCTATCATCCTCAGTGGTATGCTTAAAGATAACTAATCTTTTCAATTAGATTATTAGAACAAATATATTCTACGTTTTTTAACATTTTAGTATTGCAGTTTTTAGCCCAAATAGATCACTCCTTCAAAACACCTCACGAAAATAAATGTTTAAATGTTATAAAATAAATCACTTTAAAATGATCAACCTTTAAAAATCTTAATCTTGTAACAGTCTTAAGTTTTAAAATACACCATTTGGATAAGAACAGCTTGGAACGGTTCATTGTATATCTTTGGTTGACTAATGTAAAATCAAGGGTATTACAAAATCTAACAAACCTCTCTTGGAGAAAGAATAGAAACATAATCTTCATATATTCGTCTGACTTTTTCTTCAATTACATTCTTGTTGGATTCCTGTTTTAAGTCCTCACAGGCCAGCCAGAAAAGCATGTTTTCTTCACTGTATTCTGACCGAAGGAAGTCTCTGAAAGCATTTCGACCTGAAGGTGTTGCCATCAGTTTGTCAAAGGAATGCCTCCAAGCACTTGCTTCGTCCAAAGAAGGTGTTGAGCTATAAATGAAATAAATGAATGAAAAATAATAAATACTGTTACCACGGTGTGGGAGGAAAATGCAGAAATTAGGAGGTTTTAATGCACTGATAGATCTGAAATTTGAAGCAATTTAGTTAAAAAATGCACAAAGATGGTGAATGGTACCTTATTATGTTATTAATACTCTGTCAATAAAATACTCTGACAGTATTTTTTCTATCTGTTATCTTATTGTAATATATTACTGAATTGACCAGGACAATTATGTACAATATATTTACTCAGTATAACCAGTACTTTCATGTTCTTTCTTATATGTTATCCCGTAGCTGCAGTATTAAGGAACAAAAGCTACAGAGTCTGGTGTTTTTTCATGTTTTCATAAAGTAAAGTGTTAAAATGGAAAAACAAATTATTGCATTAATTTTTCATATATTTTCATAGCACATTTTAACTAGATTGTTTGTAGGTCAATGTATTACATGACAGTGATCTCATGGTAACCAAGATATACTAAACTGGTATGAGAATGGTAATAACTTTATCCAGTGTGATATCGTCTAAATACATAGAACTACAGCTTCCATCACTCCCAGTATATATGATCATGCTATCTAAGAAATACCAGTGCTTTAAAGGCAATAAAATGACTTTACCAATTAATCCTTACCCTTGTTGACAGTATGGAATCATTTCTGATCCAATTTCATGTGCTGCTGCCGTTGAACTTTCATCTTGATTCCTAACAGTAACACTGTAATAAAACAAGAGTTTGGTGAAACTGAAATAAACAATTTGTTGAGATTCTAAATTTATCAGTAAATGCAGGTTGCAATCTAATTCTCCCACTATAAGAATTCCACTAAGATACTGTGCAATTCCTTCTAAACTTCATGTGTTGAATGATAAGGCATTACAAATGATAATTTGTAATCTCTTAGAAAAATATTGGTTCATATAATATATTGGCTATCTGTGCTTTAGTTGAAAAATATGGGACAGGAGAGAAAATAATATTTTTAGCAAATGTGATTTCTTCTAGAAAATCTGCAGTATGAAAGAGGGCAAGAATGGCAACATATTACACTGAGAGATTTATCTGAAAACAAATTAGCACATTAAGGTTCAGATGTCCAACCACTCAATGTCATTTATATGCATTCCCTTATTTTATTTGTTCTTATGTCAAGAAGGTCCCTTTTTATAATTCTATCAGACTGCTTCATATGCTTCCTAGTTTGAACTCATGTAAATCTACAGAAAAGCTTTTGCTCTACCTTGCATTGAAAGAAATTTGATTTAGAATTGGATAAATTTTCAGTGGGATATACTCTGTGGTGTTACCCAATTACAGTCTTGGCTGTCTATTTTGCAATACCAGGTCATGTAAATACACAGTATCTTTATAGCCTTAATTTCCTTTTCTCTACAATATTTTTTTTTGTTTTGCAGTCTCTGACTCCTTATTCTCTAGGTTTAGGATAAAAGGAGTTGTAATGTCAAAAATCTCCCATTGGACTATTTTACTTTTTAAAAATGGGCGGAAATCTGATTTTGATGGGGGTAATAATCTTTAGGGGTGTGATGGCTCAGCAGTTAAAGATGCTGAGCTTGTCGTCTGGAAAACTGACAGCTGTCAGCTGGAAAGCTGACCCAGCCTTAGCAAGTAATGATGAGCTGCTTATTGATGAGTAAGAACAAACCTTTTCAAACAGGGTAGGAACAATCTTTTATTCACATGGATAAACAAAAACCAAGCCTAATTAGTCCCAACAGAGAAAGAAGAAAGCCAAGAAATCCAAATTGCTTGCTGTATCTTAAAAGTGAACAGTTGTCGGTGACAACCAGCCACTCCCAAACCCCTACTGTTTATTTCCTAGATAGGAGGGGCTGGCTAGTGTCCCCGTTTGCTTTTCCTTGAGAGCCGGCTTATTGTTTTCCTTTGCTCTCCTTTCTTCTCTGTGCATACGCACATCTGGGATGGGGCCCACCTGTTCCCCACCTGTTCCTTGCCCCCAAAGACAGCTACCTCTCCACCTGGAGAAGGATGGAAGGCCCTGACCTCTGCCTCTGTCTCTGATGCTGTTTCCTTATCAGAACCTTTCAAAGGCTCCGAAGCTGGCCCAGGCTCTCCCTCAACCTCCTCCTTGTCTGACTCTGCAGCTAGCTCTGCTGGTAGCTGATGGGCCACAACAACAGCTTGGGTTCAAGATCTGAGTACCGCACAACATGGTGAGCTGCTGTTCCTGTCTCAGCTCCTGCCCATCCAGCAGTTCAAAAGCATGCAAATGTGAGTAGATTAATAGGTACCACTTCAGTGGGAAGGTATTCCATGCATCTATGGTACATAGCCATGCTGGCCACATGGCCATGGAAAATCTTTAGAGAACGCTGGCTCAGAGATGAGCACCATGTTCCAGAGCCGGACATGACTGGAAAGGGAAACCTTTACCTTTAATATGTTTTAGTTTTTCAAAGTTGTAATGTCATTTAAGTCAAGAAAACAGCATATGATGCTGGACATGACTTTCACTATCAATCCATTCAGAGATTACTTTCTCTTTTTTTCTTTAAAAATATAATTTAATTAGGAAATTCAGTCCTGTTGCAACTGACAATCTAATGGTATTTATACACTTAATGGTTGGATAAAGGTTGTTTTCCTATAATATAACCTTACTTATTATGAAGCTTACTTCAAATGTTGTAACCTGGTGGATATATCATTCTGAGATATCTGGATTCCATCCACAAATACAGGCTAATGGAATTAAAAAAAATGTAGAAACATTTCCTCAAGAATTTAAAGCGCCACAAAAATCAATAAATCAATAAATACCTAAATTGAAAAGCTATTCCACCAGTCAAGGAGGGACTGTTATGGAGAAAAAAAGAGAAAATAAGAAAGCACCAAGAGCAGGGCAGATAATAGGCTTGGGAGCAATTATTGGAGTGGTTGGCCAAGTTTTAAAAAAACCAAGACAGTCTTAAGAGATGGATCTGGAGAGGCAGTAATGAGACAGGTTGTCTCAATAGGTATGTCTAGAAAGCAGGCTAGATTAATTGTAGAATATATATTTTGGGTCACTTCAACTGTGAGATGGGCTCATATAAATTTAATAAATAGTAAACAATTTAATGGAAGACTTCCCCCAAGATTTGAGGTGGGAGTTAACCTCTTTTGTGGGGATCGACATATGTTCTCTAACTAACCAGTGAATGCATTTTGGAATGGTAAATGACAACATAGATTGGACTGCTGTTTGTCAGAAATGGTGTAGGGTCTCCTGCTTGGGTGGGGGGGTTGGACTAGATGACCTATAAGGTCCCTTCCAACTCTGATTATCTGTTATCTGTTAACATAAACATCATTAGATATTACCTCTTCCTCAGTGGGTGGGATTAATTTTTTTTTACTACCGGTTCTATGGGCATGGCTTGGTGAGCATGGCATGGGAAGGATACTGTAAAATCTCCAGTCAGAAGTGGTATTTGCTGGTTCTCCAAACTACTCAAAATTTCCACTACCGGTTCTCTAGAACTGGCCAGAACCTGCTGAATATCACCTCTGCTCTTCCTTATTCGCTTTTGTTTTGAGTGCAATTATTTGTATTGGGTTTTTGAAATACTATTATTTGCCAGATTTATATTCCTCTTTCCATTCAAGAACTCAAAATAGCATAGACTAAGCAGTGCAATCCACATTTTATGAATAATCTGATTTAACCCTGCATCAGATTATTGGTCCATTTGGCCATTTAAACCACTTCCAACTTTATAGAATTAGAATGTATTTGTCAATGAAATTATCCTGTTTGGGAAATTAAATAGGAAACATATAATGTATGAATAGCATCAATCTTGCATTTTTGTGCAACTCCGCAAACAGCATGATTTTGTTTTCATCTCCACACAGCTGTTGCCTAGCTTACTCTAGGTATCTTCCTTTCCTGCTTATCTGATTACCCAAGGGACATAGGTCTATGTTCCTATGGAAACTAGCTGTCATCTTTCCTCTGGCTGGATTGAATATATTTTAAAGACATACCAGGAGCAACTGCACCAGCAGCACCAGCAAAAGCAGCAGGGATTGGAGCCTTGAGTCTCTACCCCAGACTGGGCAAGTAGAGAGCTTGGTATGTCCTGAGATGCAGAGGTCTGCCTTTTGCGCATTTCCACCTGCTCTGATCCCATGAGCTGCAGAATAGAATATTAGGAAATAGATTAAACATGCAAGAAAAAGCTATATGCTGGGTTGCTGATAGCTGCCATGCAGCAATGGCAACCAATGGTTTTTCTAATTGCTGTTTGAAATGCAAACAGATCTATGTCTTAACAAATGGAACACTATAGGCTTCCTCGTGTCCCTGACAGCTGCTTTGTTGTTCAGCAAAAAAAATCCTGTGAATGAGGCAGAAACAGGCCTTGTTGAATCTGAAAAGCATATTTTCAGGATTGACAAGAAGATTAACCTAGTCATTATTTTCAAAAGTTCTTTGGATGGCATAACTAATGAAAGCTATAATAAAGCAGATGGTATATTGTTACATACTGCTTTATTCCAGCTTACTTTTGTTCCTAAATTATACCAAAACTGATCTTGCATTCCTATTTAGGAAAGACAGGTTCAAAATACTATACTTCATTCCAGAAATACAAAACCTATTGAATGCTTTAAGGATCCACGTTACTGGTTTTTCTGTTTTAGAATGCTTCCTTCCTCCTTCCGTGTCTTTTCACATCCTTGAAATGTATTGAAAAAGGAGGTATCATGTTAATGCCCTGGGTTTTTTGTAGAAGTAAACAGATAACACTTTCTGTCACTTGTAACTTTGTGTTTTCTGACTAAGAGAAAAACATTAAGGAGAGGAAAACAGAAATAGCTACACAGCATCCTTCTATTCTACAGCACCAGGAGCCATATATATCTGGTAGCACCTAACAGCAAAGGCGATGTCTTTTACTTGGCCAAACAGCAATAAGAAATATAATAACATGCATCAGAAACTCAAAAATGGGATATCCACTTTGGCTGAAATAATGTATATTAACTTTAGAATTCT